GTTGTTCGCAACTTTCCCAGAGAAGCAGCAATGCTTCTGAATGGATTGGATATCCGAAATATATTTTTCCCTGGAAGCAATTTTCACAGTCTGAAGGATGGAGATATTCCAATGTTGCCAAATCTTACGCAGCTGAGTTTCGCAAGAAATCAGATTAAACCTATAAGTTTAAATGTGTTACAGCCCCTTCCTGCTTTGCAGCTTTTAGATCTCAGTGGTAATAAGCTTAACAATGTGCCACCAGCAATATTTAAGCATTCCACACTAGAAATATTAGATTTAAGTAATAATCGACCTGAACACGGATTCGCAGTTCCGGGAGAGTCTGAAAAGTTAGAAGAAACAATATCTAATCTGAGAGTTCTGAACTTGAGTAACACCCCTGTGAATGTTCTTCCTAATAATTCCTTTCATGTTTTCCCCAAACTAACTCAGCTGATCCTCAGAAACTGTTCTATATTTCAATTCAGTGAACTAGCTTTTCTAAGTCTACCCAAATTAGAAATATTGGACTTGACGAGAAATAAGATAGTGTCTACATACAAAACCACATTCGCCGTATTGCCCAAACTTCGGGTCCTAAACCTGCAGAGAAACATCATTAGCTTTGCAGATTCAACTATAGAATTCAGTCCTCTTCAAAACCTTCACGTTCTCAACCTTTCCTTTAACAACATAACGTTTCTAAATCATGCGAATTTTGCTGCAATTACGACCGTTTCATTGGATCTCAGAGGAAACAAACTGGATCCCTGGACAACCACCACCTTCAGTGAAATAGTTAATTTAAGTGACCTACACCTAGAAAGTTCTTCCCTAACACTTCTAAACAGAATTATGTTAAATGACCTGAAACAAATCGAGAACGTTAGTCTTGAAAACAACCCGTGGGACTGCCTATCGTGTGACCTAATCCACCTACAACAGTGGCTCCAAAGTCAACAAAGTATGCTAAATGATTTTTCAAATTATATATGTCACTACCCTAAATCGTTAAGGAATACAAAAGTGCTCGATGCGCGGTATAATGTAGAAGCTTGTGTTATTTTACCGTTTAATGTTGTTCTTTATGTTGTTACACCACTGACATGTGTGACTGCTTTTCTAATCATGTTTGTCAGTGTTTGTTACTGGTACAGGTGGTACATTCGCTATTTCCTGTTCCTTTGCCGTATCAAAGTAAGTAATTTTCGTGAGAAAAAACTCTCTGACAGTTACCTTTATGACGCTTTTGTATCTTACTGTGACAGCGATCTCGCTTGGGTTGTCCAAAAACTTGTTCCTATGTTGGAAAATCAAGAAGGAGGACTTCATTTATGCCTTCACGATCGCAACTTTTTAGCAGGTTTATCAATCGAACAAAATATTATCGAGAGTATCGACAAAAGTAGAAAAACTGTTTTCATTCTATCACCGAGTTTTCTAAAAAGCCAGTGGTGTATGTATGAAATAAAAATAGCTCAGCATCGGTTGTTAGAAAACAATCGTAATTCTCTGGTATTGGTCAAGATAAAGAAGAAAGTTAGGATTTTTGTGCCCATAACCCAGATAAAGGACGGGTGCTTTAGCTTATATATATATATATATATATCTTATACTCTACACACTAGTGTTTCTGCACGGAGAAGCCAGGGCCTTTCTCAGTCTTAACGAAAATAAAACTGTAATAATATGTTATAAATAAACTGTGTGAACCTTATACAAAACGTTTGGTGAGGTAATAATGGATAGAGTGCGGCTAGTACTCTCTATGGTGGAATGCATTTGGCGGCCACTATTTCAACAATACATAAACTCAGCTGAAGTTTCTACTCCAACACCCACCATAAGGCTGATATGCAGCGCCGTTTTTTGAGTTATACCCACTCCTACTTTGACCCGTGACCTTTCAACTTCGGACCGTAAGACAATTCTGCGGCCAATAACCGTCAATTACTTAATCACGTGAGACACTGTGGAATGACATTAAGAGCTGGGTGTTGAAAGCGGGTAACAGAAAGTACTCTTACTGCCATTACTTTGTCCGTTAACCTCTCAATACAAAGTCACCCTGACCATCGCACAGTGTATAACATGTTTTAAGTATATACATATTGAGTTTTCCTGAGATATGTAAGACATTTCTGTGCACCACCCCCCCCCCACCCACACACACACTTTGTGTTCTAGAACATTTAATATTTTTTGTGTGTAAGGACGTGGCGCCATCTATGAATGTAGTTAACGTCAGAGATAATAATTCCTCAACAACAGCAATAAAGGGTAATGGAGGGGTTTTTAACA